GCTGAAGGCGGCCCCCCCCCCCCCCCCCCGGGGACGGAGCGGTTCTCCCTGGCGTGTGGGGCGCGCCGCTGAGTCCACCTCAGACTCGGTGCCTTCGTGTCTCCACTGAGGAAGGCGCTTGGTGTCGGTTCTGGCATCTGTGGACGGAGACCTGCATTTAATGTAAATTGTCTTTATATTGGGATCAGGGACTTCTATCCTGAACCCCACAGGATTGTTGCTTTTAAATTGTTTTAGCACTTCTGGTTGCACCGTTAAATTGTGTACTGATGTGCAGCTAAACTTGCCACATTTGGCTGGTTGGCTGTAAGGACTAGAAAGCTCCTAGTGAAAGACGAATGGATGTAGTTTGTTACAGGACTTAACAGGTTTTTACATGCATGCTCTGTTTGATATTCATTTTACATATTTCATTTATGCTTGTGGTTGTATTGGAGTGCTGGCTTTTTGCTGTGAATAAATTTGTTGTGTACTGATGTTTTGGAAGGTTGTACTATCCGCGCAGTTGTGTTTTACTGTCTATTTGTTTGTTCATGCCTCAGTGCCATCACGTGCAAGGAAACTGGTTAGTCTCTTGTAGTAATGTCCTGGGTGATGACATGCTACTGTGTAGTCCCAGATCATTGACAGATGATTCAGAGCACCCTGTGGGATAAGTACAGCCCCCAGTGGTGTCAGGTGTTTGGTGACCTAGTAATGAACAGCTGAATGAAAGAGAGTAGTGTGGATGTCTGGGAGTGTGACCTAGCTGGTTGTAAGTAGCAAAAACCAAGGAAGTGTTAGTCAAAGCAAGAGCTCAGTGGTCATCATACTGAACATTTGGAATTAGAAAACTAAGCAGTGTGTAAGCCAAACTGTTTTATCTAAAACAGGTGGCAAATTAAATTTAATATGGGTTCCTGCCAAAGTTTACGGAAGTCCGGTTCACCCCAAGAATGTACCAGTGAGAGAGACGAGACTGGTGAATTAAAAAACAATTTGTCTTTTACTGAAGAATATCAAAATCGCACACATACAAAACAGAATCTCACACACATACAATCAAGTTCCTTAGAAGTACAGAAATAGAAAAATAGTTCCTTTTACTTAGGAGGTGGGTAGGTATACGTTCATACTTATCTTTTCCTGAAGCCTTGTCTGTTGCAATGAAGAATTGAGGGGTAAAGAAAATAGTACCTAGGGGTATTTCTAACTCACACTGCCAGAACCAGCCAGCAAAGTGTGGACCTCCTTGGCTGCGCACACCAAGAGATCCAGAATAGACAAAGGGTTGTTGGATAGAAAGCTGGTCTTTTGGGGATAAAAGTAGACAGAGGATGATGAAGGGTTTGCGGCTAGCAAAGGACCCTGCACATGGTCCTCAGTTTTTATAGGTGAATCTTTGGGGTGGTTGGCAACCTTGCCATCCTGGGATCCACCTACCTGTAAGTCCGTCCCATCCCTGCATCTTATTGGTGCGTGCAGAGAGGGTGGTAACTCTAAGGGTTGGGCCAATATTGAAATACTAAACTCTAACTCAGGGACAAGCCATCTGGTCAGGTGTGAAGTCTTGGCTTCAGGACCTTCCTTGATGTGCAGATAGATCTAGGCTTTCCTAGGCAATCAAAGCCACATCTGCCAGGAAATGGCAATTCAGATGTAGATTGAAGACTTGTATTGTGTGACATCCAGCCCTTCAGCAATGGGGGATTCTTGTCTTTGAGCTGTGGTTTCTGCTAACAATGGCAAAATGTGCTTCCCTTTCCCTAAGGCTAGGAGCTGTATGTGTTTGCTAGCTTCATTAACATGAAAAGCAAGTAGATACCTTCTATGTGAAACCTCTCACAACAGGTGATTCAGGCAGCTTTCCCTAAGCCCAGGGTGTATGCTTATGCACAGTCCAAGTGGTATGTCAGCAGATATCACTCCATAAACAACAATATTAGTCTCTTTCTCAACAAGTGGTAAAGTGTGCTTCCTGTCACAGTCTTAGGAAACCATGTAATGCAGTTAATTCCTAGGTAGCTGAGTGTTTCTGTGTAGCAGCAAATCAGATGGTACCAGCGACACCTTAAAAAGACCATATTCCGACACAAGCTTTTATTAGTCTGAGCTCACTTCATTGCAGCTGCACTATGAGTGTGTGCCCATTGCTGCTCAAGAATAGGAAGGGGAGTTTATTCTGTGCTGTAGTAATACTTGTAAGAATACATTTGCCCTGACCTGGATGGCCCAGGCCAGCCCAATCTTGGAAGCCAAGCAGGGTCAGCGCTGGTTAGCATTTGGATGGGAGACCATCAGGGAAGTCCAGGGAAGCTACACAAAGGCAGGCAAGGGCAAACCACCTCTGTTCCTCTCTTGCCTTAAAAACCTTATGGGGTTGCCAGCTGCCCCTTGACGGCACCTTCCACCACCACGAATATATTTATCCTCAGTCTGTTACCATTCTGGAATTATACTTTTTAAAGAGCTTATCTTAATAGTATTAAAACAAATTTACAGTCCAGTGGCACCTTTAAGACCAAGAAAGGTTTATTCAAGGTATGAGCTTTGAGTATTTAAAAAAGTGTGCCTTGCACATGACTTGGACTCTAAATTTGTTCTACTGCTTCAGACCAACACGGCTGACCACCTGCATTTATCCTGATCCTGACATTTTCCAAATGATTTAATACTGTCTTTTGGAAATGCTTTTTTGAACCCAAAAGTTTTAACATAAAAAGATGTGCAATGTGATACCTTGAGAGGTAATGGAATATTGGTGAGAAGAGCTGTTGCATTAATTTGTACAATTGATGAGACTGATGAGCTTCCCATGTGGCAAATGCATGCAAAATGATGGTTGCTTATTATTGATTGAAGACAAAGTCAGCAGTGTGGTGGAAATAAATCCTTCTAGCCTTGCAAAATGTCCAAGAAAGGTAATACATGCTGCTTTGGGCCCTTAAATATATTGAGAGAGAGGCCCCGTTTCCATTGCTGGTTGACTTCGCTAACATTTGACAGATACTGACATGGCAGAAAACAGGTCTTAAGCATACCTTATAGGTTCCTAGGGTATTTTGCCACAGGAAGTAAAGCAACACCTGTAGATATGCCAATTTTGCTGTATCAAACAGGGTGGATTTGATTTAAATCAGGAAGGCTGTCTTTGGCTGCGGTCACACGGAGCATTAGCCACGCTACAGAGACGGAAGATAGGCGGATTTTCCAGGCGCGATCACACCACCACATCTGGGAAGCGTAGCGTTCCAGTGGCTTACCCGAGGCTTCCCGCCAAAGATGCTGGGTAAAAAACTAGTACCTCCGAGGTACTAGTTTCCGGAAACCGCGGGGCAAGGGCGGGCGTCTGATCGCGTTTCCAGTGGCATCCGGCGCCCGCCCATGTCCCCTTGCAAAAAGGTTTTTCCCCCAAGTCTCCGTGGGATGCGCACAAGCACCCAACAGAGCATGCGCACACTTCAGTTTTTTAAAAAAACAAACACAACCCCATTTGCCGCGCCGCCCTGCTTCTTTGCCTGTGGTGTGATCGGCACCTCCCCCCTAACCACAGGACCTCGACAGGACCCCAACCGGACGTCTGATCGTGCAGCCGCGCGTTATTTTGCTCTGGGGCAAACAGCCACGCTCCCCCCCACCGCATTTTCCAGCCCGTGTGACCAGAGCCTTAAAATGTATTATTCTAGGTTGTTAAAACCTTAATACTGGTTTTTTTGCAATGTAGTTGAGGGTTTCTTTTTAGTCAGTGCTGTACATTTTTAAATAGTGAATGATTTTGGAAACTTAGGATTCATTTTATAGTTGTATCAGACAATGAATGTTTATGAAGTCATTGGAAGAACCGTTTCTGATTCAACAGGTTATTCATTAATAGACACACATTTAAATTGTGTTATGATCTTAAATAAAGGTAAAGGTTCCCTTGCTCGAAAGCCAGTCGAATCCGACTCTAGGGTTGCGGTGCTCATCTCCGTTTCAAAGCCGAAGAGCCAGCGCTGTCCGAAGACATTTCCGTGGTCATGTGGCCGGCATGACTAAACACCAAGGCACACGGAATGCTGTTCCCTTCCCACCGAAGCGGTACCTATTTATCTACTTGCATTTTCTTGCTTTCGAACTGCTAGGTTGACAGGAGTTGGAACTAGAGACGGGAGCTCACTCCATCATGCGGCACCCGGGTCTCGAACTGCTGAACTACTGACCTTCCACAGCCTGCAGTTCAGCATCTTAACCACTTGAGCCACCGCAGCTCCTTAAATTAGTGAAGGCTATACTCAGAAATATTGCCTCAAGATATTTGGAATATGCTCTTCAAACATTCACTTTTGGTTCTGTGGTTTCCATCTCCTTTCTCACAATCCAAATTTCTTCTCCTTGCCCAGATCTGTTCTCTGTCTCGTGTTACCAAGTTCCCCCCCCCCCGGGCGGGGGATGGTGTGGTGGCCAGAACCAGGTTGGGGAACTCCTGGAGATTTAGGGGTGGAGCCTGGGGAGGACGGGGACCTCAGTGGGGCACAATGCCCTAGAGTCCACCCTCCCAAGCAGCCATTTCCTCCAGGGGGAACTGATCTCTGTAGTCTGGAGAGGAGCTGTAATTCTTGGGGATCCCCAGGCCCCACCTGAAGGCTGGCATCCCAAGTTCTGTCCCCCTCACTTTCTAGTAATTGATCTTCGTGACACTTTGCACTTTTAGAGAAAGATAAAGGATGAACTGTGTGTTTATGAATTTAATTTAAAACCTTTTTTTTGCTGTTAGCAAGCAAAACAGAGACTTTGACCCTTGGACAAAATGGAGACTTTTATTTTCTACAGTTGTACTTGTAAGCAGCCTTTGCACATGTAAAGCCTCAGATTGGACAAGTGGGGAGAGTGGGTGTGACTTCCTTCCCTCTCTTATTTTCATATCCTGCTTCTTTATACCAACCTGGAATCTGAGGTCTGTCTGTGTTCCTGGCTCCCTCACTACCAACAAACTGCGCAGCCACCAGCATCACTCTTTCAAATCCCATCTTTCTGGTAACACAGACCAAGTAACATGTTACCCATGAAATCGTTCATTTTAGGTGAAGAGCTACTGAGGACACAATAGTTATAAAATAAAATGAATAAAAACAGCGGTGTTTTTGAAATTGGATAGTGTTCAGAATAATCACTTGTTTTTGTCAGCCTCCAGCCTAATACTGGAGAAATAAAAATTTGTAGGAAATAACGTAACAATAAACGTAGTCCTTCCTAATCTTCTCAGTAAAAATTTCCTTTCCTAACTACTTCACTTTAGAGATTATTTTGCTGGCATTAAGTGCTGTCATGAAATGAGGCCGTGGTGGCCCTTGATGACATTCTCAGTAACACATTTGACTAGATAGACTCGCCCACTGGATTGTAAGAAACAATGGTTTTGACATGGGAGTGGAATCCTCTGCATGTCACAAAGCTGTTGTCAGCCACAGGAAGAACACTTAGAGAGTTGTGTTCTCCTGCCTCCTCCCACTCTGCTAAGCCAGCCTTGAAGCCTTCCTGTAGCCCACAGAGGCTTCCTTCAGCTTAGGGTGGAGGACGTCCCTGCAGCCCATTGTGTCACCCAGTGTGTGCCAAGGCTTTGGATCCCACAAACGTAGGGACACGCTGGTCATTTGTTCTACGGCATTATTCCCTATTCCATTTCTTTTCCAAACCCTCTTTCAAGATGGTACATGATTTCATTTATGGGGACTCCGTAGTGTCCCCACAACCCTCTGGTCTCATTTGCACACCAAGATGGGGTCTGTGCACATTTTGTGAGAGGGAAACGAAAGACATCTGGGCATCTCTCCCCTCTCCTCCTCCTCTCCCTTTCAGTTCTCTCGTCTTCAGCACTGATGGGGGGTGGTCAGTGTCATGAGTGACATTTCCCAAACACTCTTCAGTAGACTTCTGTTTATGTTTCTCACTTCTGCTGCAGCTTTTAGCATAGCCATGTTTTGTGCCAAGACCAGTGAATGAAGACATCTCTGAAGATAGTTCCAGGTGGTCAGCCATGTTGGTTTGAAGCAGTAGAACAAATGTAAGACCAACAAAAGTTTATTCAAAGTATGAGCTTTTGTGTGCATGTACACTTTTTCAAACACGCTGGAATGGACAGTAGAGTTCAAACTTAACAGACAGGCTGAACAGCAAATTTACACGTAACATGATAAAAAAGTTTTAAGTTATGCAAAAAGCAAACTAAATAACAAGCTAAGAAACGTATGCTGCCACATATACCCAGACAGCACAGTTACTGGACCTAACAACATCAACTACACCATCAGAGGCTCATTCACTTGCTTGTCTTCTAACATTATGTATGCCATTAAATGCCTACCATGCCCTTTGGTTCTCTACATAGGACAAACCAGACAAACCCTATGCCAGAGGATAAATGGACACAAATCTGACATCAGGAATCACAAGACTGATAAACCTGTAAGAGAACACTTCAGCCTTCCAGGACATTCAGTGGGTGACCTCAAAGTAGTTGTTTTATTACAAAGGAGCTTCAGGAACAGAATGGAAAAGGAAATTGCTGAATTACAAGTTATTACAACACTTGGAACAAAAACCTCCCCAGGACTCGACAGGGATATTGGTTTCTTATCTTATTACATATGCTAACTCATTCAGTCCTCACGTGTATTTCTCAGCAAGAAGGACTATGCATCCTCTGTATTTTAGTGTATTTCTTTTTCAGAATAGTATATTAGAATACTGAGTGTAATGGAAGGGATATTGGGATGTTTTGCTGACATACCACTACACCCATTAAAAAAAATGGTGTTAAGTTACCTCCATGCCTGAGAGGAGATGAATGGTGAGTCTCAATTTACTTCCCACAATTAGAAAAGATGACTTTACACATTCTTTATCATGTTACATGTAAATTTGCTGTTCAGCCTGTCTATAAGTTTGAACTCTACCGTCCATTCCAGTGTATTTGGAAAAGTGTGCATGCACACGAAAGCTCATACCTTGAATAAACCTTTGTTGGTCTTAAAGATGCCATTGGACTCCAAATTTGTTCTGAAGGCATCTCTGTTAGAGATATAAAGTTCCCTGGAATTTTGGAGCCAAGGGGAAGAAAGAATTCCCCCAGGGGGGAAAAAATTGCAGGGAAATATAGTATAGTGTCTCAGCCCCAGTGTCCCCCCAGATTTCCTGATTGTTTAGTTGAGAAAGTCCTCACATTTTTTCATGTGTGTACGTTTGGAATGAGTGAAATGCTTTCTTTGTCACTCAGACAGAGAAACTATTTTGTAGGAGGCAGTAATCAGTACTCCCCTAGATGTCTGGTTTTTCCACTGGGAAAATTGAAAAAGTCCTCAGACTTTTTTTTATACTGTACCTTTGAGGTGTGAAAACCCTTATTTTAAGAAGCATTTCCCTCATTCCAGAAGAGAAAATACTTCATAGGAGTTTTTTTCTCACTGCTGTTGGTAAAATTCAAGCTTGCCTCCCAGCCAACAGAGACCTGGTTTTGCCCCCTTGGCCTTATGATCCTGCTGCTGACTGCCAGATCTGTAATGTCGGCCATTCAGGATTTAATCCTGGATGAGCAGGCTGACATGGTTGGATGAGGCTGGGAGAGTCAGTCTGACCCAGCTCTGCTCTCCAGGTTTTTCTGTAGAGCAAGCAGGCCAGGCCAGGGGGATGTGGAGGGGAAGTTGTGGTGGTCTACTTTGATTCAATCTCTCGTGGTGCCTTATCCAGCAGTCCACCATTTTTGAGTGCATATTCCCTGCAGGTGGGTGATTGGGACAGGGTAGGGATTCTGCTGGCGTGCTGTTCACCCCACTGCCAAGTTTTGTTCTGGGTATAACAGTGTGTGTACATGAAAGCTTATACCCAGAATAAAACTTGAATGGTGCCCCTGTACTCATACTTGGTTTTGATGGGCCATATAACTGTTGTTTTTCCTGTGTATTTTATAATGTTTTATATATATTGTAAGTTGCCTTGAGTTTCGCAAAGGAGAAAGGGGACAAATGTTTTGAATAAATAAATGAATTTTTAAAGAGTTCTCATGAACAACCCACCTCCAGTTTTTTCAAGTATTTACATCGCTACTCTTTGATTAGCTACAAAATAACTTTTTCTAACAACTGAAAACTTAAAAAACTTAATTAGTTGCTGACATTTTTGTGCCTAAATTGACTAGTATGAATACTGCGAGTCAAGTCAATTTTGAGGAAGCTGGGAATGTTTAGTGAGTAGGTCAAGATCCATAAAAGCAACTGTTTGAGTTCCCGCATCCTAGATTTTATGAAGCAAATAGAGAGAATAGTTTGGAACAGGCACAGAACTTCAAAGTGGCACTCACATGTAGAGAAAACATTTCCTGCGATGTGCCATTGATCTGTTAATGATAAGAAATCTATATTGTGTTTCTTTCCTCAAAAGGTGCCATATGAAACACTGAACAAACGATTCCGGGCAGCTCAGAAAAACATTGACCGAGAGACTAGCCACGTTACTATGGTGGTAGCCGAACTAGAGAAGACTCTGAGCAGCTGTCCAGCGGTGGATTCTGTGGTTAGTCTCCTTGATGGAGTAGTTGAAAAGCTCAGTGTTTTGAAACGAAAGGTAAGATGGCACTCCTACTTCATGTCAGTGCTGTGGCTTTCAAAGAAACTAAAATCTCCTACAGCAAGTAATGTGTCGGCATCTTACTTCACTGTTTGCATGTGGTATGCACACTGGAATGGATCCAACCAGCTTTTCCTCTGCTGAGGGGTTCCCCTTGACCACCCAGAAAGGCTGCAGGGGGGGAAATGTGGTCCTCCCCCCAGATTTGGGTATAATAAAGCTGGTTTTTTTGGTATTCCCGAACACACCCGAATACCAATACCAGTATTGTATGGATATCTGAAAATATTTGGTATCCCCAAATATATCTGGCTCCATTATATCCTATGGGGCCATTGTAGTCAATGGCAAGAATCTTCTCAGGAGTATTTGGGGGGAGGGGGTTTGAGGTAGAGGCATCAAATTTGTACTGTAGCTGCTGGAGCCTCTCCCCAAAAGAACTAAGTTTGGAAAAGATTGGACTAGGTGGTCCAATTCTAGGGGCATCCAAAGAGAGTGCCCCCAATACTCCATTGTTTCCTGTGAAAGGGGAAACATAAGAACATAAGAGATGCCAATGTTGGATCAGGCCAAAGGCCCATCCAGTCCAACACTCTGTATCCCACAGTGGCCAGAAATACCAGTGCCATCAGGAGGTCCACCAGTGGGGCCAGGACATTTGAAGCCCTCCCACTGTTGACCCCCCCCAAAGCACCAAGATGACAGAGCATCACTTGCCCCAGAGCCCCTATCTATACCTTGTGGCTAATAGCCACTGATGGACCTCTGCTCCATATGCTTATCTAATTCCCTTTTGAAGCCGTCCATGCTTGTAGCTGCCACCACTTCCTGTGGCAGTGAATTCCAAGTGTTAATCACTCTTTGGGTGAAGAAGTACTTCCTTTTATCCGTTCTAACCCGACCGCTCAGCAACTTCATGGAGTGCCCACAAGTTCTTGTATTGTGAGAAAGGGAGAAAAGTACCTCTTTCTCTACCTGCTCTTTCCCATGCATAATCTTATAAACCTCAATCATGTCACCCCTCAGTCGTCGTTTCTCCAAGCTAAAGAGCCCTAAGCGCCTTAACCTTTTCTCATAGGGAAAGTGTTCCAACCCTTTTATCATTCGAGTTGCCCTTTTCTGCACTTTGTCCAAAGCTATAATATCCTTTTTAAGGTGTGGTGACCAGAACTGCACACAGTATTCCAAATGAGGTCTCACCATTGATTTATATAGGGGCATTATTATATTGGCTGATCTGTTTTCAATACCCTTCCTAATAATCCCCAGCATAGCATTGGCCTTCTTTATTGCAGTCACACACTGTCTCGACATTTTCAGTGAGTTATCTACTACAACTCCAAGATCTCTCTCTTGATCAGTCTCTGCCAGTTCAGACCCCATCAACGTGTATTTATATTTAGGATTTTTGGCTCCAATGTGCATCACCTTGCACTTGGCCACATTGAACCCCATTTGCCATGTTGACGCCCACTCGCCCAACTTTGACAGATCCCTTTGGAGTGCCTCACAATCCTCACTGGTTTTCACCACCCTGAACAACTTCGTATCATCCGCAAATTTAGCCACTTCACTGCTTACTCCCAACTCCAAATCATTAATGAACAAGTTAAAAAGCAGTGGACCAAGTACTGATCCCTGTGGTACCCCACTGCTTACACCCCTCCACTGGGAGAACTGCCCATTTATACTCACTCTCTGTTTTCTATTAATTAGCCAGTTTTTGATCCATAAAAGGACTTGTCCTTTTATCCCATGATTTTTGAGCTTACTTAGGAGCCTTTGATGAGGAACTTTATCAAAAGCTTTCTGGAAGTCAAGGTAAACAATATCTATTGGATCCCCCTTGTCCACATGTTTGTTCACCCCCTCAAAGAACACTAACAGGTTAGTGAGACAAGATCTTCCCTTACAGAAACCGTGCTGAGTCTGCCTCAATTTGTTCACCCCCTCAAAGAACATTAACAGGTTAGTGAGACAAGATCTTCCCTTACAGAACCCATGTTGAGTCTGCCTCAATAGGTTTTGTTCATCTATGTGCCTACTAATTCTTTCCTTAATAATGGTTTCCACCAATTTACCCGGTATCGACGTCAGACTGACTGGCCTGTAATTTCCCGGATCTCCTCTGGAACCCTTTTTAAAGATGGGAGTGACATTAGCTACCTTCCAGTCCTCAGGAATGGAGGCTGATTTTAAGGAGAGATTACATATTTTTGTCAGGAGATCCACAAGTTCACAATTGAGTTCTTTCAGAACTCTCGGATGTATGCCATCTGGGCCTGGTGATTTATCAGGCAGGCAGATATAAAACCAGCCACCCAGCAGTTTCTTCCAGAGAATCTCTGCAGTAGAAACTCTGTGGTGTGGTGTGAGGGGGCATGTTTGCAAGGCCAGCAGCAGAACCAGGGCAATGTGCCCACCAGAACCAGTGCTACTGTGGCAGTGCCAAAACCCAACAGGACTGAGATCAAATCTGATAATCTCTAAAGTATACTATAAACTTGAGGGAGGGGGCATATTTGCAAGGCTAGCAGCAGAACCAAGGCAATGTTCTAGTGCTAGTAGCCAGTGCCAACCAACAGAACCCAGTGCCATTGTGACAAATGCCAGCCCGGCTCAACTGATGGCAACTTTAGCATAGAATCACACAACAAATACAGAGAAGCCCTGCCCAGTAATGCCTCAAAAAGTGAGGGGGAGGGGGTAGTGCCTGTCCATTGCTAAACTACTAAAAGGCAACAGAAGAACCAAAAACAGAGAGCCTAGGCCCCAGGCAGAAGGCCTAGTCAGAGTCAGTCCCACCCTCCCTAAGAAACCAAAAGTCCCCAGAAATATAAAACACAATAAAACAATTTTAAAAATTTAAACTGCTAAAAGGCAACAGAAGAACCACAAAACAGAAAAACAAAAATAGAGAGCCTAGACCCCAGGCAGAAGGCCTAGTCAGTAACTCCCCTCCCCCCAAAAAACCCCCAACAAGCCAAGAAATATCAAGCACAGTAAAAAAAAAAATTAAAACATTTAAACTGCAAGCAACAGGCTGGCAACAAACCACAAATTAGAAGAACGCCCCCCCCCCCAAAAAAAAAACCCCGGAAGAGGCCAAGGAAGAGGCCCAAGATGCCCTAGGGCCCAGAGGGCTATCCACCACCCCCAGGCCCCAAACCCACCAGCCCACAAAAAATTAGAAAAGTTTTTAAAAAATGGCTATAATAAGTCAAACCAGTGATGTATTCAGTCTTCTGTTGTCCAGGAGGCAGGATGGATCTTGACCTGAAGTAGTCCAATAGCAGTAGGAAAGCAGGCTCAGAGCAGAGACTGAAGCAGAAGCCAGCCACACAATCTCCAACCCAGGTCTCAGCAGCATGAATGGAGTTAGCCAGCCAGAGACCCCTGCTTTTTTGCTCTCTGTCCATGCACAGAAGAATTTCAAAAAAGAACAAACTTCTGTGATTGGTCAAAGTATGCCACCCTTATCTGTAATCCTATTGGCCAGGGCTCCTCCCCCTGGGAAAGCAGCAAGCAAGTAGTTGAGCTTCAACAAGTGAAGCCAGCAGCAACAACAGCCTTGCAAGCTGCAATGGCATTTGCTAATGCATTGCAGAGATTGTCTGCATGTAAGGTCCCTCTTCCCCCTCCCTCCTGGAAAGCAGAACAAAGGGTGGGAAAAAGACAAAAACAGTGGGAAAAAGAAGGTAAGTGGAGCCCTTTAAAGTTTAAACCCTTGCTTCACCTGTATTTGGTAATGCTGAAAAAAGCTGAAAACCCCTGAATATTTTTGGGGATTTTGGGGCATTCTATATTCAGCAGCTGAATCAGATCAGATTCGGCTTTACCGAACGCACACTCCTATAAAACTGTCTTATACTGAATCAGATCCTTGGCCCATCAACGTCCATATGGTCCATTATGATTGGCAGTGGGGCTCGGGGATCTCAGGCAGAGGTCTTTCATATCACCAGATCCTTTTGATATAGTGGTAAAGAGTGGCGGAATCTTAATCTGGAGAACTGGGTTTGATTCCACACTCCTCCACATGCAGCCGCCAGGTGGATGACCTTGGGTCAGTCACAGTTCTCTCAGAGCTCTCTCAGCCCCACCTGTGCAGGGGGTTGGACTAGATTACCCTGGAGGTCCCTTCCAACTCTATGATTCTACCTCCCTCACTGTTATGGGGAGAGGAAGGGAAGGAGATTGTAAGCCGCTCTGAGTGAAGGGTGGGGTATAAATCCAACTCTCCTCCACCTCCTGCTGCTGTGGCGGCAGATTGAGTTTGGGACTTTCTGTGAGGCAAGGAGATGCTCTGTTGCCAAGCCATGGTGCCTCTCTTGGGGAAATTAAGCAAAAAAGCTGTCTGGATTCAAGCCCTTGTGCAGTTGCCAATCATTAATTCAAAGGGGGGAAAGTCCTGACTTTCCCACGTATAATGGTGGTAAATACGGACTTGTTTTTTTGGAAAGAATCTGATTTACAACATGTACAGTGGAGTTGCTTCCCTGTTTTTGAAGACAAACCTGTCTGCAGTTTAATCAGGAAGGGGGTATAGCTAGATTGGCTGAACGGTAGAATGAGCAGGGCCTGCTGACCTGAATGTCAGAGGGGTGATGGGAGCGGTGTGTGGCCCAGCTATCATGTCCTCTTGAAGAGCTTTGAAACTCAGGTTTGCTTTTAAAAATAAACTACTTCTTCCCACACATTATGGAAGAATAATTGGAAGTGGCTGCTTGTCATCCTAAATGTTCAAATGATAAAGATTCTAGATACTGATGTTCTGATTTCCAAGCTGGTCTCCCAGGATTTTAGGTACAAACAATTTAATTTATGCTTCTCTACATGTTGTGCACTTTTATTCGAAAATGAAATGCTGTCTGAAAACTGAAGCTTGTCTGAAGCAGTAATGAGATTGACTCAAGATCTATTCAGTTGTAGGAAAATAAAACAGCAAGGCAATAGCACTTTAGAATTCACTGCAATTTACTCTGGCATAAGGTTTTGTCAGTGAGAGTTAGTGCATGCAGTGAGTGAACATAGACTTTGGTGTTAGCTAAATGACTAAGAAGTAAAACAATGCAAGAAGCACTTTAAAGTTCACATGCTTAAAAATCTCCCAGGTGGAGCATTCTGTTGCAGGAGAAGATTATACTCCATCTGAGAAAGGATTTGGATTTTTAAGGCGGGCTGGCAGGTATGCATAAATTCTCAGAGAGGCTGGTGTGGATGTATCTGGGAAAGGTCCAGAGACATGCAGTGCAGCAGCCTTGCTGAAGCTGCATTGGGGTGGGTCTGGTCAGTGCCTGGATGGCGCAATGCCTGGGAACCCACTGTGAGCCTCACTGAGTTCCAAGAAAGGTGCTGCATAAATGTTGGACATTAGATTAAGTCCTGGACTGGGGATGGCCAGAAATTAAACGCCTCAGGAAGATGTAACATAGCGAGTATTTTATTCTCGAAAGGCAAACAAGGAGGCTTCTGACTTTTGGGTATTCCATGCTTTGATTTGTCCTTCAGGTCTAACAGTGATTGCCCACTTCCTTTCAGTGCCCTGGCAACCATGCAGTGGTTTTATGTGGGTGGGTCTGTGTGTGGGTGATTTGGCCGAGTGCTCAAAGCAGGAACAGCCTTGTACAGGAAGAGGAAATTTTAAAGTGTTTGGAAATGCTTGAAGACTTGTACTTTCCTTTTACTAAGGAACAAAATCCATTGAACATTTTTTTCAGATTGTACTGCACAGGGCCCGGTCCATAATCCAGAACAGAGCTGGGCATTCTCACAGGTTTAGGGTTAGGTCTGTAAACTGAAGCCCTAAATTCTTTAGCTGACCTGCTGGTAGGAGCAGCTCTGTACTAACTTGTTCTGGAAGAGATATTTTAAGGATACAATCTTTGGGGCGTCAAAAAGTCAAGTGAACTGTTCTGTGCTGGAAGTCTCCGCTTCATAGTTAAAAATAGGTGTATCAGTTGCCTGATGACTGACTGATCTTTGTTACTGCAAGGATCTGTGGAAAGGGATTGCCTGGATAAAGTGGCAGGAAGAAAATCAAATTGCGAACTAATGAATTTGAGCTGGTTGAAACGGAGGGCTAAGGCACTGTTTTAACTTCTGACTGCATAGGTGTCTTCTCTCTCGCTAGGCAGTGGAATCAATCCAGGCTGAAGATGAGAGTGCGAAGTTATGCAAGCGCAGGATCGAGCATCTTAAAGAACATAGCAGCGATCAACCAGCTGCTGCAAATATGTGGAAGAAAAAACGCATGGATCGCATGATGGTCGAACATCTCTTACGGTGTGGTTACTACAACACAGCTGTAAAACTAGCCAGGCAAAGCGGTATTGAGGTTGGTACTTGCTAGGCGAAGTAATTGTGAAAACATAGGCATGCATGGTAATTACTTGAAAGACTAAGACCCCACCTCTCAGGGGAATTTGTTTTGGGGGGAGGGGTGACTGGCATTGGCCAGGTTATGAGTGCCCATGCAGGGCATGAAGTTCTAGCTCCTTGTCCTGTACTTGGCGGAGAATCTTGGTAGGGCATCTCCCCACTTTTTAGTGGGAGAAGTATCAGCTGGATTCTTCAGGTATGGCAAGGTAAGTATGATGTCATATCATAGCTGCTGTGTGCAGAGGTGGACGTTTCTGCATCAGCTGCCGTTTGGCAGAAGCGGGAGGGCCATCCCCGGGTCAGAACCAGGGATGTGTAGATGGAAAAAGAAACCGCTTTATAATAATTCCACTTGCAGAAGGGGGGATGTGCAAGATGTTGCACAGCATCTCCTGCTCTGGTTTGCTCATGTACACAATGACATGCGCACATGAGATGCTGTTGTGTACCTGTCTAGAGAGCTAGTTGAATTGGTTTTGTTGTTTTTCTGGATGGCTGTTGTGCTCCATTTTGTAAGGTTTCTGGTGTTTGCCCATGGGCAAGCTGTGCTTTGATTTCAGTAGAAATAAGTTGCTTTATGTGCAAATAAATTTAGAACATGGCTGCTGTGGCCTCAGGGCACTGAATTGTCTTCATTGAGATGTCATTGCACAAATGAAGCCCAGAGCAAAAGTGGTAGAGAAATCACTCATCTGTGGCACAAATGAAGCCCAGAGCAATCAGTAGTGATGCTGATGCAAAATGGATCCAGCAGCAAGTATTTTTTGAAATGTGGTTCCCACAAGTTATTAATCGAAGTAGCTTGCTATGACATTTCTTTAAGAGCTGAAGTACTCAGTGGCCTTTGCCCTTGAGTGAATCAGTGTTGCAGTGAATTCTTCAAGCTATATATACTAGACATGTCTTAAAGCTGTATACCAGATACTAATTATCACAAGTTATTCAATTCCTGTAATGTATTATGAGGTAGAACTTTAATATGTAACTTATACTCTGTTTAGTCACTAGGGTAAGAAGAATGTAGACAGAGAGCATTTTTATCAGTTTTATGTTGGTACAAGTGAGGGACCCACAAGGACTTGCTGGGGGCAACTTATTTCCCCTTGTATCCCACCCATTTCCTCTTTTCCTGTCCCAGCAGCCTCTGTAGCTTTTCCCGTTTCCCTGCTCCTTCTCTTTTAACCACCATCCTACCTTTCCCACTCTCACACCACTTCTTTCAGCCTTACCTCCTTCCCTGGCATCCTCTCATGGGTAAAGTCCGACCGAGTGGCAAAAGTGGTAGAGAAATCACTCATCTGTCTTTGGCTCATTTTATGTAATTTGTTTTGATCCACACTCTGTGGGTTGACTTAGCATTAGATATTTGAAAAAGCAGGGGGACCTGCAAGGACTTGAAGGGGAATCTCAGCCTCCTCTTTCTCTCCCCTCAGAAGTCCCCTCATCCTCAACTTTTCCTCCTTCCCTTCCCCAGCATCCTTTCCCAGGAAAGAGTCTGGCCAAGTTGCACCATGCAGGGCCCTTTGGCCTCTGAGAGAGGATTCACCAGGGCCAGTACCGGCAGCAAACCCTGCATACCCCCCCCCCCCCTGATAGAAACAAAGGCTAAAACTGGCAATATTGCTTTGTTTGCCTTATAACAGCCACAGAGAGCATCTGTTTCTTAAAAATACAGGTGCTGCTTCTATTATTGGGATGGGTGGATGGGTACTTTTTCAGATTTCATGTACTTTCTCAGATTTTATTTTTTTCCTGCAAACCTGGGGCTTTTTTCATTCTTAAAAAGATCCGTCTGTTCATGGCTCAGACTTCTACATTTAAGTAGCCATTGATCTGAATTCTGGATCTGAATTCTGGTTTTTCCTTGCTGACATATTCTCGTGCTGCTGGTTCCATCGTTCTTCATAGAGGGAGAGAGGCTGGGAATGTTTTAAAGTCAGGATATGCAGAGTGGACAGGGGGACACACCAGGTTTTACACAGGCATGTTTTCCATCCCACTTGCATGCCAATTCTGCATGTTTGTTCCTTTGGCTGCATTGAATATTCACACTGGAAGTTGAGTGTCTCCAAATATAAATTGAAAAAAATGCCTTTATGTAATATGGTATATAGGTTTTTGACATGAGTTCATACTATCCTTAAAATTTATATATGCCTGTTTGATGCTTGCCTTAGTTGCGCAGCTGCCACTGAGCCACCCTGTGGTCTTTCAAGATCTGTTTGTTGAAGAAATTTATGAAGCTCATAAGACTCAGTTGAAAGGCTCCCAAAGCAGCCAGCATTCAAATTGTCAATAAAATGACTAGAAACAGCAACATTTAGAACACTGATCAATTGGTAATAGCTAATTTTAAAAGAATTGCAGCAGTTGGAACTAGATTCATCTTCTGTTGCCCTGGAATAATGCCACAGACTGTCAAAGGAGTGGCAGGAAGGGGTGAAAGGAAAATACTTTTCCTCTGGGGTCGAGCCTTATTGGCTCCAATCTCAAATTGAAATTGTGTGTGTGTGTGTGTGGGTAGAATGGCCTGGGCGCGTTGTGGTCACTACTGAGTGCCCTGGGAGAGCTTGCCCTGTCATTGTGGTGGGAAGGGTGCGGGAAGGTATGAGGGACAGCGGAGTGGAGGAGGCCAGCCTTGTGTACATGGGCTCCGCGTGTGGCAGAATGAGGCCTTGGAGTTGTGCGTTGGAATGGACTACACCACGGGCAGGGACAGGTCCACGTTCTTATACTTTTCTCTGCACAGAGGGTTTCTGGCATCTACAAGGACAGTATAGCACTGAGCTGGATGTGAGGGTTATGTAAAGTGTGGGAGCATTCAGAACATTCTTAGCTCTTTCATGAAGATAGTTCCAGGTGGTCAGCTGTGCTGATCTCAAGCAACAGACCAAATTTAGAGTCCAGTGGCTAAGTCCAACAAAGGTTTATTCAGGGTGTGGGCTTTCATGAGCTTTCATCTTAAAGGTGCCACTGGACTCTTAAATTTGTTACCGCAGGGATGTGACAAGCGGCCTGGCCCTGGATTTCACGTTCATCCCTGTGATAAGGGGTGGGGGGAGGGTGAAGGAGACCGGAAGGCGATGGCTCTGTGGTCCTTTGCAGGAGTGCTGAATTTCCCTGTTCCCACTTCCTTCAGGCTGGCAAGTCTGAGGCAGGTCCCAAGGGAAGGCGAGCAGCTAGTGAAACGGGGCAGTGGTGCAGAACCCCAGATTTCTTCCATTTTTCTGTGTCCTTTAATGAGACATTTGGCTCATCCTTATATTTTCACCAATTTAAGGAACCTTGTCCCAAGAGAGCGCTGTCGATACCTTTTCCGGTTTCCCTTTATTCTGTCATGATGACAGTCTCAAGTCAGCATAAGTCGAGCAGCTGAAAGGGGCAATCAAAGCAAAGAGCTCCTGAATGAATCAGGGAGGAGGTGGTAAACTCCCTTCCCATTGGTGACTTCTCTAGCATTTGGGATGATGCTGGTAGAAAATCACCTTTGCCCTCTTACGTGTCCCTTGCAGGCTACACCATTCTTGTTGCTCTGTTGAGCGCTGTGCTGAAATCCAGACACATAGTATTGGGGCGGAATAGGCCCACAGGCACCTGGTTCTGTCCCGGGCGATGTGGAGTTTGCTCAGCTGGCCCGGGTCCAAAAAGACTCTTCTTCTAATTAAGATCTACTTTTCTGCTCCAGACGTCGTGGCACAGGGGAAGGTCTGGAATAATTCTGCTCCACGGATCTGCCCACCTCCCCTTTGTACGCTGATTGAAGTTAGGCTTTGATGTGGATTCAGACGGTACACCAGTTTCAGGAAGAGAAAACTGCAGTGTGACTTGTCTGTGCCTTCCTTTAGAAAGATTGGCTTGAGCCTGGGCACCCCCCCACCCCACACAGTCCTCCCTGCCCATTTTGCCTTTGGCGGCTGGGGACCAGAGGCAGGGCTTTTTTTGATCTCTGCTGCTGCATCCTCTGCTCTCTGGTAGGTGCCAGGGCAAAACATTTCCTTTCACCCTAAGGGTAAAACTTAAGAGGTTTGAGCTTTTAGAAGAGAAGAGAATGGATTTATACCCTGCCCTTCCCAACCCAAAGGAGTCTCAGAGCTGCTTCCAATCCCTTCCCCTCCCCACAACAGACACCCTGTGAGGTAGGTGGGGCTGAGTGAGAGAACTCTCCCGAGAACTGCCCTTGAGCTTTTAAAATGGTTTTTACTGTCAGCTTCTAGCCTTAGGGGGTGTTTCATGAGGATCCTTTTAGGCTTCTGAATATTTTAGGTGGATTTTAATGCTTGGGTCTTTTAGTAGTTATGGTTTTATGCTGTCTTACAATTCTATCATGTTTTAACTTGTGAACCGCTTCGAACAGGTTCTCTGGAGAAAGTAGCTGTGACGACCCCTTAACTGGGGAGGTCTGGTTTTACTTTAAAAGTGTTCTTTATGTTTTGTTTTACTGTGTATATCCGGCTGCCACCAGGAAATTTAAGGCTTTCCAAACCTTTATACTATAATATTTCTATCACTGGGTGGGTAGGTAGGTTGAGGTTTTAGGCTTTCATGGGGGTCTATGTGTTTCATGAGAAATTATTTCTTTCAGAGCTGGCAGACTTAAATAAAAGAAGATTTATTGATATAATTTGTAAATAATATAGTAGAACACTGTAACTAGGAATGGGTAAATACTAAACAATTGCTTTGGTATTTCACACACTTTCCCCTTCACTGTCAGGGATCTTGGCATGTAACTTTGTAACTTTAACTCAAGGTCATGTAAGTTCACTGTTTCTCTCCAGGACATACAGCCTTTCCTAAACTTTGTCTTCAGTTACTTTCATTTACATTTTACTATTCTCTCAGAACAACCTCAGCTGTTCTTAACGGCACACACACAGACTGGTTCTCTCACAGACTTCCGAACGAACTCTTCTAACCAACTGTTTTTTTGTCCTCATCAACTGTCACTCTTCCACTGTCAAAACCTCAAACTGTCACTCCTGATAGACATACATATTCATCCACACACAGCATCACTTCCAAAACCCCTCCCTCTCTCTGTCACTCACCAATCACACCACCCTTGCCTCTTCAAGCACTCTAGACTATCACATGCAACCAAACTTTTAAAAAGACACACACCCATAAACAAGGAATCGTTACAGTAGCATATATGTTTTCTGAATGTACAAATAAAAGCACGCAGTGGAGCAAAGGAAAATAGTGAAAAGACACCAAGAAACAGTTTGGTGTAGTGGATAAGTGCGCGGACTGGGAGAACCAGGTTTGATTCCCCACTCCTCCACTTGCACCTGGCTGGATGACCTTGGGCAAGCCATAATTCTGATAAGAGCTGTTCTTGAAAAAGAGCAGTTTCTGTCAGAGGTCTTTCAGCCTCACCTATCTCACAGGGTGTCTGTTGTGGGGAGGGGAAGGGAAAGGAGTTTGTAAGCCGCTCTGAGACACCTTTGGGTAGTGAAGGGCGGGGTATAAATCCAATCTCTTCTTCTTTCCCCCCAATCTAAATTTCACCCCCAGTGGTGGTGATTTCAGAGTAGGCCAAATCATCTTGAATGTCCAGATTTCTGCGCTGGGCTACACTTAGGCCTCTCTCTTTCCCAGCCACTTCCTAGCCTTTTTCATTGAAGTCGTCTCATCAAATCCCCCTAAATTGACTGTTTTTAAGGGAAAAGAGTTCTCCACTTCTCCCTGGAAAGACCCCTGCTGTTGTCCCTGATGACAAGCTTCTGAGAGTCCGTGGGGGGTGCGTGCGAGGTCCCAGGAGAGAAGTTCTCTTCCTTTGACTGTCTCCGTCCCCATGTGAGCTAGCATCCTGGAGGCTGGGCAGAGTGAAGCTGGTTGGAAGACCTGGATCTGCAGCCCTTTCGATTACCTTGAAAGGGGGTTGTACCTTCACCTTGGAGTACTTAAAGTGCAGATTCAGCATTCCTCTTGCAGTCTGAATCACATTGAAGTAATTCACCATGAGGATTGACTGCATTTCCAGTAAAGTTCTTGTGGACTAATGGGTTTAGTCTTTTTTTCACTCTAGCGAATTCAGTTTGCTGTGTACATTCCTTCCTGTTTTCTTTCATCGCTTTAATAAGCTTGCGGGGAGGGCGGGGTATAAATGCAATTAAATTAATTAATTAATGTATTTGTGGGGCAAACAAGGACTTTAACTTGTTATGCTAATTAATGGCTGTGCTGTTGTTTTATACTTGAGATCAGGAATAAAGTTTTTCAGAAGCATGACAAGGTGGGTTGATTTGAAATCAAGCTTTCGACTGTCTGAATCATGTATGTCTAAACGAGCACGTGTATTAACTAATTCTAGGAACAATTAAAACATGTAGGCAAGTAAGTAAAGTAAATAGTAGACTTTACTATCAGGAGTGTGACTACAGGCATGCGGCCTCACGTGCCTTGTGCTGCAGAGAGTCTGTGTCTGCCTTAGGGAGCGATTGTGAATTTAAGAGTGGGTTTGGCTTTCTCTGTGCATGTTAAGAGACGATTATTCATTTAATCTTCCAGGGTCTGTAACGT